AAACTTAAAAGTTTTTTTCTGAAGTACAGGTCACACTACTCACCAAGAGCTCAGAAGTTCCTAATTTGTCTAGTTCCAAAGACTGAATGCGGGAAATGTGAACCCCCATTTCCCTGTGGATGCCGGAACATTCTATACAGGTCAAAATACCCAAGTTGGTTGAAAGCCAGGTAGGTTCTGTGGAAAAGATTTTGAAGACAATGAACGAACATCTAATTTTAGTGTGCCAACTACAGAGGAAGCTGAAAGAACAGTAGTAAAACTTTTTAAGAATCATAAAGAGAAGATGTAAATGGAAGAAATGGAGGCCTGTAGTTTATCCAAGAGGCTATTATAAAAATTAATAGCTTGTTAGAGAGCAAAGTGTGATAAGACACATTTTTAAAAATGTCCTTTCAATGAACTGAAAACAAAATGAAGTTCTTTATTCCTGTGAAGTGTTAGAAAGACTTTCCACAAGGTCCCACGAAACACCCTTGGGCCTGGCGACGGGTGTTCCCTCATCGCCAGTGATGGATTGCAGGCCTGTTAAGTACAGCCCACGAGGCACTGAGCTCTACAGCTGTCTTTACCCCCACGTTACGACTCCCATTAACCCATCTTGGTTACGGCTGGCTTCTCCACAAGCACCTCTTGGTGATAGGTAGCTATAAATACTGAACTGAATGTTTCTTTCAGAGACCTCAGCCTTTTCTACAACCTCAAAGGCTCTAAAATAATAAAGTACAAATATTTCTGTTACCCAAACCTCAGGGCTCGCTCTCTGTGGCAAGCGTCTCTCTCACTGGTTAATGCTTATTTACTACTCTGGTGCCACATCCTCATACTGCGTGTGTCACTATCACACACAGACACAAAACCAGAAGAAAATGTGAGATGTGTCTCCGAGGTGCTTACTGCGTGTTGTATAGAGAAGTCCGTTTTCACAAGTAAAACATCACATGCTCTAATGCTTAAGAGCAGCAGGTGTGCACCCATGTTCTGACCCCTGCCGGATGTGTGACGCCAAGGGAGTCACCACACTTCTCTAAGTCCCCAGTCTTCTCATCTGTAAAATGGGGATCACGTTACTACCTCGCTCACAGAGCGACCGTGAGGGTTGATGAGATGACATAAGCAAAACGACCCGCATGATCCTTGTGATGATGTGGGCACCGCATAAACTGTTAGCTGCTGCCAGTGCCCGGGTAGTCCAGATGCTATTGGAAAAGAGAAGTTGGGGGGAGGTGACACCAACGTGACATCGAGGTTGGAGAGGATTCACTGAGCAGGAAGGAAAGCCTGTGCCACGTGTCAGCCACCACATGCACCATTTCACTAAGTCCTCGTGACGACTCAGGCTGGTTACCCCATTTTTACGATGAGGAAACTGAAAATGAGAAGAGCGAAGGGGCTTGGCATGAGGTTGTCTGGGCTGAGTGGCAGGCTGGGGATTCAAAACTCGGACCCTGGACTCCATGTCCAGTGCTCTCTCCATACTGTCCATTTAACTGGACCATACTGTGCTATTTATCTGGACCTTGCTGGGCAAGGCGGTGTTTTGGCAGGTGACCATACTGAGAGCAAGTGGCAGCTTCCCCGGTAGAGCAAACGGCATGGGGAACGGTCAGAGATGTGACCGTTCAGGTTCAT